CAAGTCTTTGAAAGCCAGCTGGGATGGAGTAAGCTTGGGCTGCAAATAGGAACTTGCTCGAAACTCTTCACCTACAACAAGAATAAATTTAAAAGTTCTTAATTTTTCAAATTATCTTTATTGTGCCAAAAAGGACAACACCCACAATTCATGTCCAGTTGAATATTTGACTAAACAAAACTATGGAATTATCTGCCATGACCAGAGTGTTCTGTAGTATTTAATGTCAAAAGCACAATAACTTAATTCTAAAAAGAGATTAAACAGCTTTAAACAGAAAGACTAACAAAACATGAGATATCTTAATATATTTGGTGAAGAGACTAGAAAAGACCTTTGAGAAAAAGGGAAGATTAAATAAAATTTTTTAAATCATAATTTCTTGTAAAGTCGACAGGAACAAACTTCCAAAGAGGAAACTCTTTGAAATTGTGAGGAAATTTGCCAGGATTTCACACTGATAAATTAAAATTTAAGGGGAAAAAAATCTTTTATACATTATTTGATAGGTCAAATATGGCCACTTATACAATTAATTAAAATTAAGCAGTATGGATTGGGGACCAACAGGCTGGTGACCGGGGTGAGAAAGCCACCACAGAGACCTGAGAATCCTGCCAGCTGAAATCCCTACCTTCCTCCAAGAGCTGGAAAAGCATGGACGGGCGGAATCCTGCAGGAACTGCCCCTGTGGTGGTCAGCACCTCCACAGTGTCATTCTCGTGAAGAAAAAGGAAAAAGGATGTTGCTGTTCCTGCTATTTAACAGCAAATTTCATCCTAATTTACAGCTCTGTTTAGAACCAGAAACTTGAGATATCAGTCACCTCTTCTGAAGCATTTCTGTGGCACTTATTGCCACCAAAAACTCCCAAAACATGGATGTTAATTAAGAACAATGTTCTTTGGCAAAAGGCACAGCTTGTCTCCAAAATAATGCAGATTATGGCAGGTGAAGCTGCACTGTAAGAGGGGCACCTACCTCTGCAATGGCTCGGACAGCATTCCAGTGGGAATCTGTTCTGGAAGAAAATACAGGGATTTATAGCAAATCCTCACGTGAACAAGAATTTAGCCACTAAATATTGCTCTGTTTCCAAACAGCAGCAGCTTCACAACCATATCTGAGACATTCCATTTACCTTTTCTTAATTTCAGTTTCATCTGCTGTTTCATCCACCACTTCTGTGTGTTCTTCTGACTCTTCCTGGCTTTCTTCCTCTTCCTTAGGAACCTGGAATTCACATTTAAAATGGCAAAAGGCTTGATTTCTTCCCAGTTCTGTTCTTAAAAATGCCTTCTCCAACCACAGCCCATATTAATATAAGTTTAGAATAAATTAAGTAAGTTTAGAAAAGGAGATTTTTTTTCTCTGTGATGCAGAAAATTGTTTACATAGACTCCCATTTCAGATAAATTATTAAAAGCCCAAATCAATTCACAGCAGCTTGGAGTCTTCAGAGTTGACCTTTAAGTGACAAAGGTTCTGACTTTGATATTCATGGAACTTCTCTGCCACAACTTCACAAGGCACAGAAATGCTGCTTTTGATGGATATCTCCAGCCCCATGGACCAAAACAAGGAGTTATTTCCAAATAACTGGCTTTATTTCCAAACAACACACAGCATTGTGACCAGATCATTAATTATAGATCATTAACCTATATAAAAGAGCAGAGGTGAGATTAGGACAGAGGTTGGAGCACACCCACCGCAAGGTAAGTCCTGGGAACGAGGCCTCTCTCCCCCTTGGAATTTTCAGCTACCCACCAGCCATCCTCCTTCTTGTCGTGTATGAGCAGGATTTCACCTTTCTTTGGCATTGGAGGAAGAGACAAAAAGGAAGAGACAAAAGAGACAAAAAAGAAGAGACAAAAAACCAAGCAAATATTTAAATGATAAAAGGACCTAACTCCAATTTCTCCCCAAATCCCACAGCTGAATCCCAAAAGCCCAGGATTTCATTACAGTTACTGCTTAACTCAGAGTGACCTGCAGTAAAAACCCTTCACAGAGAGATATTTACCACAAATGTGAGATCCCCTTCCTCCTGGGCATCAAAGTTCCCAACAGCAACACATTCTCTAACATTTGGATCATCCAACAGCTTCTCCTCATCTTCTTCTTCTTCTTCAGTGTCTTCCTCCTCACCTTCTTCATCTTCACTCTCCTCCTCTTCTTCATTTCCCTCTTCTGCATGAGGGCCTTTCTGGTGTTCCTCACCCCTACCCAAAACAAATCAAACTATTTTTTAGTATCATTCCCACCAAACTTTCTGAAATGCTGTCAAGCCTCTGCAAGGACATTATTCAGATACAGCATTTCCATTCCTCTGTTTTGCTCTCTGTCCTGAGAAGAAGTTTCTTCTCTGAGAAGAAACTCCTCCAAACCTTATATTCCAGCCATTATCCAGCACCCTGAGAAAATCCCACCAAGTCATAAATGACTTCTCCCCTGAGCACTTCTATTTTTATCCTTCTGTTATTTTTCAGCTAATTAAGAGGGTGAGGTAATGGTTTTTCAAGGCCCACTCCAGCCATCCTTTAAAAAAACAGTTGCATTTGTATGTTTAAGCTACTCACCCTGGGTAATTCTTTGTCACATTATCCTGATCCAAGACAAGAAGGAGTTTCTGCAGCTGCTGGGAGAGTCTTAGCAACAGCTTTTCTTCCTCTTCCTTCCTCTGGCTGTAATTCCCCACTGGGGCAGGCTCATCAGCCTGACAGAGAACCCAACAAAAAAATCAAAGTCCCAAATAAATTGGTCAAAGAATCAAAGTCCCTCTATAAATTAACTTTTCCAGACATGCCTTACAAGTTTTCCCATTCCTGGGCTGCTGTCACTCCCTCTTTAGTGACAATTTTCTTACCCTTTCACTCTGCCGAGGTGAAATTCTCTGTTAAGTTTTCACCTGGGACTTGGACAAAATAAAGCATCAGTTTTAAATTATATAAAAGTATATAAAAAATATAAATTGGAGAGATGGCAAGCAGGGATTGTGCAGTGCTGGGCACTGCTCTTGTCCTGAGGCATCTAAAATGGAACACTGATTTTCTTTAAACACTTTCCATGGTGAATTTTGGAGAAAACCACGAATGAATCTCCATACTTACTTTTTTCAAAGCACGGAGAGCGTTTGTATTCTCCTCCACCAATTCCTTCAGCTGTGTACATCTGCATTGAAAGCAAGACAGGCAGATGGTATTTTCTTAAAATTCTGACCCAAACCACACCTGCTGACTGACAGGTGTCATTTTAGGTTCTCTGCTTCAGGCAGAGAATTCCAAGCCCAAACAGCAGCATTTGACAGAATCCCAGAAGAGCCAGGACTGGAATGGATCTCTGGAGCTCATCCCGTCCAACCCCACTGCTCAGGCAGGATCACCCAGAGCAGGTGACACAGGAATGCATCCAGCTGGGTTTGGGATGTCTCCGGAGAGGGAGACTCCACACCCTCCCTGGGCAGCTCTTCCAATTCTCTGCCACCCTCATGTTGAAGTGGATCTTGTGTTTTAATTTATGTTCATTGCTCCTCATCCTGTTGCTGGGAACACCGGAAAGAGCCTGGCACCATCCCCTTGGCACCTGCCTTGGAGATACTTATATGGATTGGTGAGAGCCCCCCTCAGTCCTCCCTTCTCCAGACCATCCTCATCCCCAGAGGGCTGGGAAGGAGCCGGCCTGGAAAACAGGAGAGGGAAGGGCAGGGAGAAAGCTGAACGGAGAGAAAAGGCATGGAGGAAACAGGGAGAAAGCTGAACAATTCGGAGAGGAAAGGCATGGAGGGAAGGAACACTGCTGAGGGTAGCAGAGGGGAGGCTGAGGGCAGCGTCGGGGCGCTGGGATCGAGGGATGGGGTTCGGGATGGGGTCCGGGATCGCCCTCACCTCAGCCGAAGGGGCTCCCGCTGCCCGGGGGCTGCGGCCGCGCTCTCCGCCCGCAGCGCCTCCACCTGCAGCGGGGAGCGGGCGGTCAGGGCCGGGACACCGCTACGGCACCGGCACATCCCCGGTACATCCCCGGCACCGGCACATCTCCGGTACATCCCCGGCACATCCCCGGTACATCCCCGGCACCGGCACATCCCCGTACATTCCCGGCACCGGCACATCCCTGGTACATCCCCGGCACCGGCACCGGCACATCCCCGGTACATCCCCGGCACCGGCACATCCCCGGGACCGGCCCCGCTACATCCCCGGTACCGGCCCCGCTACATCCCCGGTACCTCCCCGGTACAACCCCGCTACATCCCCAGTACCTCCCCGGGACCGGCCCCGGTACAACCCCGGTACATCCCCGGTACCTCCCCGGGACCGGCCCCGGTACAACCCCGGTACATCCCCGGTACCTGCTCCCGCAGCTCCCGGCTCCGGCGCTGCACGCGCTGCAGCGGCCCCCGCGCCCGCCGCTCCGCCATGGTCACCGGGCAACGGGACAGCCCCGGCGCCGCCCGATGACGGGCCCGGGGCGGGGCCGGCTGCGCTCCGCGCCCACGGCGGCCCCGGCAGCCCCGACAGCTCCCTCGCACCCCCAGAGCCCCGGCCGTGCTGATCTGGGGACAAACGAGGTGGCGTTTTGTGATCCCAGCCACTGGAGAGCACCCCGTCTGACGGCAGGACCGGTAACTTTGGGAAGAGCTCCAAGATCAAGACCAAGCCGTAAGGGGCTGTGGACAGTGCTTTTTCTCCCCATAGATTTGAGAATTCCAGAATACCTCTGAAAACCAGCAGCCTGCAATGAATCTCCCAGCACTCCTCCTGGCATTCTCTAGGAATGGAAAAAAGGAATTTGCTACAGCTACCCTCACAATTCCTTATCCAAAGTGCCAGGAGGAATTCTTACTCCTTTATTTCACTTGTTCATTCGCCCAGCCAAAGCATGAGCTCTTTCACCGCTTAAATGTCCCCATGCACACCCGTAATGAGACCTGTTACATGTGCCCATAAGGCACATTTTCACATTAATTCCAGAAATAAACACCTAGGAGCACCATGCCATGACTTTTGCTGGTTTATTGTGTTGGCAGCGCCTCCTGGCAAAGGCAGAGCAGCAGGCTTAGAGCTGAACAAGTGCAGACAACCCTTTTTTGGAATATGGAAATCCGAGAATCATGGAATCGCTGAGCTTAGAAAAGACCTCTGAGACCATCGAGGTCTCCCATGACCGATCCCCACCTTGTCACCCAGCCCAGAGAACTGAGTGCCACGTCCAGTTGTTCCTTGGACACCTCCAGGGACGGGGACTCCAAACCTCCCTGAGCAGTCCATTCCAGGCTGGGGATCGCTGCTTGCACATCCTCAGCTCTTTGTTAGGTTAGTCTAACACAGTTTGGGATCTTGCTTTGCGAAGGGCAGAAGAGAAGTCCTGCTGTTCTAGGGATGCTGTCCTCTCTGGCAGCACTGCCATTCCAGGGATGCTGTCCTTCTCCAGAAGCCCTGCTATTCCACGGATGCTGTCCTTCCCGCTATTCCAGGGATGCTGTCCTTCTCCAGAAGCCCTGCTATTCCACGGATGCTGTCCTTCCCGCTATTCCAGGGATGCTGTCCTTCTCCAGAAGCTCTGCTATTCCACGGATGCTGTCCTTCCCGCTACTCCACGGATGCTGTCCAGCCGGCAGCCCTGCTACCCCAGGGACGCTGTCCTTCCCCAGCAGCGCTTCAGGCGTTTCCAGCGGCTCAGGCAGCGCCCACCGCAGGTCCGGAGGAGCCGAATCCGCCGCAGGATCCGCCGGGAGCCCGCAGCCAGGGGCAGCCCGGAGCGGCGGCGGCGCTCAGGCCGCTTCCAGCTTCTCCTGCGCGGCGGCGAGGCGGCGCTGGAGGTAGCGCTGCCGCCAGCGCAGGAAGCGGCGGCGCGCCCGGCCCGCCTGCCAGCCCACCGCCACCCCGGCGGCGAAGGCGGCCAGCAGCGCCCAGCGCACCACCCGCGGCCGCAGCGCCTCCAGCACCATCCCGACCCCGCTTCCAGCCCCGGCCCGGCGCCGCCTCCCGCTCCCGCTTCCGCCGCCGCGGGGGCGGGACCGGCCCCGTTAAAGGCGGCGGGGCCGGGGAGGCGCCGCGTCCGCCCGCGCCATGGCCGAGGCGGCAGCGCAGGTAGCGGCTCTGCCCCGCGGCACCTCCCCCCTCTTCTCCCCCCTCTTCTCCCTCTTCTCCCCTCCGCGGAGTTTTCCCGAAGCCCCTCACACGGTGTCTTGTGTTTCCCCCAGGATCTGCTGCTGGCAGCGGCGTTCGTCTCCGATGCGCAGTACAACAGGAACATTCCTTTCAAGACCTCCCCGGAGGCCGTCAGGTGAGGAGGGATGCGCCCCAACCACACCTGTGGAGAGCCAGCAGGACCCGTGACCGAACAGCAACAGCCAGGAAAAGTCGGGGGTGCTAAGAGGGGTGGATGGGTGGGGTGCCAAAAACTGGACTTCAGCTGAAATGCTTAAAACGGGCCTCAGCACATCTGTATGTTGAGGATGGGAAATTGCCATTAAAAAGTTGTGGTTTGCTGGAGGGGAGAAAATAAAACTAACACGAAGTCTTCCAAGCCTCTGGGGCAATGAAGAGTGTGGGAGGCTTGGTCAGCCCTCAGCTGTGTGGAAGGTGCTGGAGTGGCAGAACCAAGTTAAATATTTTTTGTTTATTATGAGTATTCTGTTATTTAACCCCTCTCTGAAAGGTGGTATAGCATCCATCAGCTCTGAGACTGATTTGGAAGCAAATTACCAAATTCCTTGCTGGCAGAAATGTTTGGGACAGCAAGTGCTGTTCTTTCAGGACACATTTGGTGATGCCCTGGCAATGTGCCCTGTAGTCTTTATTTATGGTGCCTGTGCTTTCTTCCCCCAGGCTTTATCACCTCTATAACCACTGGGTGATGCGAACAGCCACCTACTTCTTCATCTTCCTCAACCTGTCCCTTGCCCTGTTTGAGGAACCTGCTGTGTATCCGCTCCCCTTCCTGGTGAGTTTGTGGTGTAGGAGCAGCAAATGCAGCTGCTGGAGCCAGCAAGGGCTTCTTGCTTCGGAGTGGTTGTTACAGGTGCCAGGAGACAGTGGATGGTGATGTTTTTGTGGGTAGCTTTGACCTCTGCTCTGGTGAGACCCCACCTGGAGAACTGCATCCAGCTCGAGGTCCCCAGCACAGGAAGGACAAGGAAAGTTGGAGTGAATCCAGAGGAGGTCACCAAGTTGATCAGAGGGGTGGAACAGCTCTGCTGTGAGGAAAAGCTGAGAGAATTGGGGTTGCTCAGCCTGGAGAAGCTTCAGAGTGACCTAAATGACTCTTTCAGTACTTGAAATGGCTGACAAGAAAGATGGAGAAAGACTATTTCCAAGGGCCTGGAGTGCCAGGACAGGGGGGAATGGCTTCCCACTGGAAGAGGGCAGGATTAGATGGGATATTGGAAAGAAATTGAGGGGGTGAGGGTGGTGAAGCCCTGGCACAGGTTTGCCAGAGAAGCTGTGGCTGCCCCATCCCTGGAAGTGTTCCAGGCCAGGTTGGACAGGGCTTGGAGCAACCTGGGATAGTGGAAGGTGTCCCTGCCATGGCAGGAGTGGAATGGGATCATCTTTATGGTCTCCTTCTACCCAGGTGATTCTGTGACTTTATAATTCTGTGATCTGTTTGGAATGGGGACAGAAAAGGCACAGGAGCTGGCCGGGGACTGTCGGAGCCATTGTGGCCACCAGCAATGGCCCCTGTGACTGTGGACAAAGTCATGTTGCTGTTCTCCATCTCGGAGACCAATTCCAGCCTGCTTTGGGACTCAAGTCCAGTCCTCATGTGTGAAAGTAGAAGCCAAGTTTTACTTTAGGCCAGACTTTTCTGCAGCCTTTATTTGTCCTGCACCAGTGTGATTGTGAAAGATGTACTCCTTGAGTCCTAAGCAAACACAGACTTGCTGGCTTTAACCTGCCAGTTCTGCAAAAGGAAGCCTGAAAACTTTGCTCTGCCTGTTTTTTATTGTGCAAAAAGGAATATTGCTGCTCCTGGTTGTGCTGGCTGAGCCCTGCTCTCCCTGCAGGCCACGTCAGTGCTGGAGGTGTTGTGCCTTCTGGTGTTCTTCGGCCGGCTGACACACTTTGCCAAAGTCACCCTGCACAACGTGTTCTGGAAGGACACCAAGAACATCTGCATCATGGTGGCAATCCTGGTGAGTTGGGCCCAGGGGAGGTGTTTTTTTTTTTTTTTCTCCTCATGTTGCTTTCCTGGGATCCCAGACCTGGCATGGCCAAAACAACCAGCTGTCACAAGGCTGTCATGTGTGCACCTCTCCTGTATCAACAAGCACTTCACTGTCTAGACACATCCCAGCATTACTTCTGGGAGCTTTCCTTCTTTCTCCTACAGCTATCCCTGGCAGACCTGGCCATCTATGGGGTGCTCAGGCTGTATGAGGTGAGGAGCATCCGCTGGTCAAGGATTGTGAGGCCCATCTTCCTCATCAACTTCGCAGAGAGTCGCCAGGTAAAGAAAAGGTCTGGTGGGATGTCTTTGCAGACAGCCTGCTGCTTTCCACAATCCAGGGGATTTAGCAGAAAGGTTTTATGGCAGAATTTAGGGTCCTGTGAGGGAAGGTTTGTTTCAGAAGTGGCCTGAAGCAATAATTTGAGGTGGGCAAAAGGGCAGATTCAAACAGTACCACAGAAAAAACCCTGTGTTTCTCCCTGAGTCAGGGACCAGGTTACTGATTTCTGGAAGTCTCCTGGGTAAACAAATGCCAATCCTGTAGTCTAGATTTGGACTCTGATTCCTCTCAGCATGGAGAGATCTTTGTCCTGCTGCCCAAGACTGGTCTGGTCCTGACTTACAAATGAATAAATTGTGATGTGGAGGCCTTGGGGAGGGAGCAGCTCAACATTTGGGCTCAGAGCCTGTGTTTTGTGGCCTGGAGCAATGGATTTCTGTCCCTGACTGGTTCCCTGCAGTAAGAACATCTCAGCAGTGCCCTGGGGCCCTCTGTCCCTTGGCTCCTGAGTTCACTGTGCTCTGTAGCTGGGGCCTTTCCTTCTGGGATCCCCCCTGCAGAACAAGGAGGAAAGGCCTGGGATTCTTGCATCCCAGTTTAGGGGTTTGATCCAGGTGGGATGGTGAGGGGAAGAAGGGGTGCCACGTTGCCTCTGAACACTTCCCTTGTCCCCGCAGATCCGGAGGGCCTTCCGCAGCATCCGCAACACGCTGCCGGAGATCACCTACGTCTTCCTGCTCTTCATGTTCAGCCTCCTCATGTTCTCCCTCATGGCCCTGAAGCTGTTTGGAGAGAGGTGTGGGTGCTTCCTTTGCTCCTGGGATACTCTGGGCAGGCTCCAAGCAATTCCTGGGGAATGCAAACACCGCTGCTGTTGAGGGACACGTGATCCAAGTGCTTAACTCCAGGCTGTCCTCTTGCTCCTAGGAATCTCCAGACAGCAGAAGGCTTGCCCTACTTCAGAAACTACCTGGAGATTGTGTTTGACCTCTACGTGCTGGTGACAACAGCCAACAGCCCAGATGTCATGTATGGATGTCACGTGTGGATGATCAGATCTTTTCCTCTCATAGTGCTCTCAGGGCTCTCTGTGCAGCCTCTAATTTGCATAGCAGAGTTAAAATTCTGTGGGTGTCGGGCTTTTCATGCCTATCTCTTCTGGGTTCCCATTGTAGTTTGTGCTGGGGAGGTGCTGTCAGGAGTAGGACAGGGAGGAAGGGCTCAGTCATCCATGTGCTGGAAATATCTTCAGCACAACTGCAATGGTGTGGCGACCCTGGGAATTTAAACTGAGAAATAAAATGCTGCTCGTCCTAGAGCAAGTAGAAAAGCAGATGTGACTGCAGCAAGGGTCTGAGGCCAAAAAATAGCATCTGGCTGAGGTATTGCCTCATGTCTGCTCTTAAATCTGGCTGCACTGGCAGAGATTTCATCTCTGTGCTGTCTTCTGCTCCCCTTCAGTCAGGGCCTGACAAGCTGGGATGGAAACGCAGCAGAAGAAAAGTGTTCTCTAACTGAACTAGTGCAGTTTTCAGCTTTTATCTGACAAGTTTGATCTGGCAGTCCAAAACAGCACGTGGAAATCCACGTGGTAGTCTGCTTTCTCGTGGGCTCACTTTTGTCAGTCTGGCAAGCAGCAATCCCTTCTCCCCTTCTCTAGGATGCCAGCGTTTGACTTCAGCTCCTGGTACGCCCTGTTCTTCATCGCCTTCGTCATCGTCAACACTTACATCTTCATGTCTCTCTTCCTGGCCGTGGTCTACAACAACTACAAAAAACACCTGAAGGTAATGCCTGGAGGGGCTGCTGACCAGTGGCTTCCTGCTGTTCTCTGTCAGGAGCCTCTGTCTTTCCCTTGGAAAGCTTTGAGAAGGGGAAAGAGCTTCTTGCCTTTGGTGTTCTGCAAACAACAAGCACAGACCCACTTCTCATATCATGGGGTTGTTGGGAGTTCTGCTGCTGGCATTGAATTAAATATTCTATGGTGTTTCCCACAGATAAGAAGCTCATTCTGCATTATCTTGGAGGCTTAGTCCTAGCTCAGGAATGCTGTCTCCATGCAGGGAATTGTTTTTTGCACAGCGTCTTTGCATGTGCTCTGAGAGCAAGGGAACTGGCAGTGGGAGGGCTGAGTAAATCAGAATTTTTGTTCTGCTCAAAATGGGTAGGGGGCTTGTGATCAAAGGAGGAGAGCTGGGAATTCCTGGGTGCTCCATGAGGGGGTTGGATCTTTCTCAGGAAGCAGAGTGCTGGATGTCCCTCTGCTCAGTCATGTGCAGAAGAGGATCCCTACCCCTGCTCTCAGCAGGATTCACTGTGGATGGGAAGCATGTGTGGACACATCCTCTTTGCTTCTGTGGCCATGCAGATCCCGTGATCTTTGTCACCTCCTTCCTGTCTGACACTGCCCTTTTGTCTTCCTTCCGGTTTTTCAGTGTTGTCCAAGCATCCAGCAATCTGTTGATCCTTCCAGAGCTCAGTGTAGAGAACCCACAGCCTGTTAAACACCACTTCTTATCACCCCCCCACACTAACTGTGCTGTGCT